CTCCTATTATACCTGTGCTTCCCAGAGGGGAACCTTTGGCCACATGTGGCTTTTTATTGTTAATTAAAGTTAAAATTGAAATTAAAAATTTAGTTTCTCTGTAACATTTAAGTTCTCAATAGCCACATGTGGCTGGTGGCTACCATTTGGAGAACACAAATACAGAACATTTCCATCACTGCGGAAAGTATTATTGGACAGTGTGTCATTATACCCTAACAAAAGTCTTGTGAAGGAAGTAGGTAGGGCATAGATTTTTCTTATATACTTTGTTGTTTCATAACATTCCAAAAAATTAAAACTCATGACCTCTTCACCTTAACAGCAACTATTTGCATTTCTGTGGCCTCTTTTCGTCTTTAGTCCATGAAATCAGCTTATAGATGGTTGCAATCACAGTGTTTATACAATTGCTTATTTTTTTCAATTAATGTGATTTTGCAAAGACTTTCCACTGACCTGATACATGATGCTTCTATTTGCTGTGCTAGTGAAGGAGGATTATACTGTGATGCGCCGCCATTGGGCTGACTGCTTCCTAATCGTTGGCCACTTCAGCTGCTTCCTGTTTTTCAGTATTACGAATGGTGCTGCCATGAACTGTTTTGTACCTGAGGCTTTTTCTTCTTTTGAATTGTTTCCTTACTATAAATTCTAGGAAGTAAGTTATTCAGTCAAAGGATATAATCACTTTTATGGCTCTTGTTATATTTTGTGTAATTGCCATTTTAAAAAGAAGCTCAAATGTATTATAGATATTATTGTTGCTTGGCTCATGAGAACATCCAGTGTCTAGAGATCAAGAGATGATTAGCCCAAAGTGCAGCTCCTCGCAGACGGAGCCAGGGCGTGTGTTCCCTGCTTCCTGACTCTTGCCCATCTTTCTGTTGTACCACTCCACATATTTATTATCACAATGTTGCTGTTAGTAACACTAGTAGATCTGAGTATTTATAAGCTCATAAAGCTTGTTACAGTGTCTTAAGCAAAAAGCTTGGGGTCAAGGGCATTTTAAAAAATGCACACTTTATGAGCTGCAACTGTGGAGAAATAAGAACGCGTTCTTAAGCCTCGTATTCACATGGTGCTGGTGCTGGTAGAGGCTGTTACATTTCTTTCAGTGAAGCTGTTCTTGCAGCTGCCTTGGAATTTACTTCAGGGCCAGTTTATGAGGCACCCCAAGTAATCTGCTTGGAGCCTGAGTGTCGTACCTTACATTTGACCAAACATGGTATTCCTGAGCTCAGTGCCACCTGATTCACCGCACTTGGAGCCAGATGATGTTGGGCTCTTTCCAGAAGTCAAATCCTTCCTGGGAGGATGAAGATCTGCCAGCTCTGAGGATTCTGGAAAAAAATGAAAAAGAAAAAAGAGCCTCAAGCTTTGAAGACCAGTCCCACAGTAGACAGAACTGATGCGAAAAGTGGCCATCCTGTTGCCCCAGGCACATGACCTTCCGAAGTGACTAGGTTGAGGGGGAAGCAATATTCTTGCGTAAGTCCGGCTCTGTTTACTTACGAAGGTCATCTTAATTATTCTTCGGCTACTTCATGTTAGAAACATGGTGCAAAGCAGTGAAGCCCAGCAGAGCCGAGGTGGAGGCAGGTCTTTAGGATGGTCTCTAGCCCAGGGCTGCCCCGCAGAAATATAATACAGACTATGTATAAGTTTACATTTTCCGGTAACTACATTTAAAAAGCAAAAAGGGATGATGCCTGTAATCCCCACACTTTGGGAGGCTCAGGCAGGAGGATCACTTGAGCCTAAGAGTAGGAGGCTACAGTGAGCTGTGATTACACCATTGCACTCCAGCGTGGGTGACAGAGTAAGACCCTGTCTCTAAATAAATAAATGGGTAAAAAGAAACGTTTTTTTAAAATTGTGACAAAATATATGTAACAAATTTACCATTTTAACCATTCTTACATTTAAAATTTAGTGGCATTTACAGTGTTGTATAGCCATCATCACTTGCCTATTCCTAAAACTTTTTCATCTTTTCAAACTGAAACTCTGTACCCACTAGACAATAACTCCCCATTTTCCTTCCCTCCAGCCCTTGGTAACCTCTGTTCTACTTTCTGTCTCTGAATTTGCCTGTTCCAGGTACCTCATGTAAGGGCAGTCAAACAATATTTGTCCTTTTGTGTCTAGCTTATTTCACCTATGTTTATTCAAAGCTCATAATGTTTTCAAGGTTCATTTATGTTGTAGAGTATATCAAAATTTCGTTTCCTTTATGGCTGAGTAATATTCTACTTTACCTATATGCTACGTTTTGTTTATCTTATTCTCCTGTTTATGGACTCTTAGTTGTTTGTTTCCGTCTTTTGGCTATTGTGAATAATGCTGCTATGAAATTAGTATCTGAGTCCTTGCTTTCAGTGTGTTTGTTTTTTTTAAACAGGGTCTCACCTTGTCACTCAGTGTGGAGTACAGTGGTGCAGTCACAACTCACTGGCCTACTGTAGCCTTGACCTTCCAGCTTGAGCAATTCTCCTGCCTCAGCCTTCTGAGTAGCTGGGACTACAGGTGCACACCACCATGCCTGGCTACTTTTTAAAGTTTTTTTTTGGCGACAGCATCCTACCGTGTTGCCCAGGCTGGTTTCGAACTGCTGGGCTCAAGTGACCCTTCTGCCTTGGCCTGCCAAAGTGTTGGGCTTACGGTGTAACCCACCATGCCCAGCCAATTGTTTTTTATGTGTATTTTTTTGGTGGTGGGGTGGTAGTGGCGAGGGTCTCTCTCTGTCACCCAGGCTGGAGTGCAGTGGCATAATCATGGCTCACTGACTTGACCTCCTGGGCTCAAGTGATCCTCCCACCTCAGCCTCTGGAGTAGCTGGGAATACAGGAGTGCACCATCACTCCTGGCTAATTTATTATTTTTTCTGTAGAGATGGGATCTCGCTATGTTGCCCAGGCTGGTCTTGAACTCCTGAGCTCAAGTGATCTGCCTGCCATGGCCTCCCAAAGTGCTGGGATTATAGGTGTGAGCCACTGCAATCATTTCAACATGTAATCAATATAAAAACCTTATGAATGAGCTAGACTACATTCTTATTTTCATACAAAGTCTTTGAAATTGGGTGTATAATTAATTAACTTAGCATCTCAGTTCAAACTAGCTGCATTTCAAGTCTTAATAGACATGTGTGGCTCATGGCCACCATATTGGATAGCTCAGACTTAGTAAAAAGTTGCATTAGGCCAGGCGTGGTGGCTCATGCCTGTCATCCTAGCACTTTGGAAGGCCGAGGTGGGTGGATCACCTGAGGTCAGGAGTTCAAGACCAGCCTGGCCATCATGGTGAAACCCCATCTAAAAAAAAAAAAAAAAAAAAAAAAAGTTGCATTGTGGCACAGATCTCTGTAAACACAAAGGGTTTTGGATTCAGGTGGGCCTGGTTCCAAAGCAAACTTGCCTCTTTATCATTGGGATGGGCAGAAGAAAGCCACTGGTGGGTGCTGTGGTACAGGGGGAGCAGTTCACTCATGCCAGGGGAGGAGGAGGGTGACAGGAAAGGCATGTTGAGGAGGTGACACTTGAGCTCAGCCTTAGAGGTAGAGTGGGGGCTTTGTCAAGCAGTCAGAGTGGGAAAGGGCATTCTTTGCAGTGTATGCAGCTTGGGCAGAGGCCCAGGATTTTGAAAGAGCCCGGTGCTCTTGGAGAACTACGGCAGTTCTTTCAGCCCGACCAGGATATTAGGAGTGGGGGCCCTGCCAAAAGGAGAGGCTAGAGAGCTAGGCTGAGGCTGGACCTTGCACCACTGGCCACTGCTGCCCCTGTCATTCACGCCATCAGCAGCTGTTGTCTGGCTTATTGGCAGGGGCCTCTTCCTGGCTCTCCCTGTGTCCACTTTTCCCCCTCCCCTTGTCCCTCCTCCATTTAAAAATGGAAGTCAGACCATGTGACTTTTCTGCTCAAAATGTTTTGGTGGCTTTACACTTTACCCAGTCAAATTGGAGGTGTCAGGGTCCGCCCCCACTGCTCTCTGATCTTACCCCCTTCCACCCTCCCTCTCTGCCTCTGTTGGCCTCGTTTCCCTTCCCTGGGGCCTCCACACTTGCTTTTCTCCCTGCCTGGAACATGTGTCCCTCAGATACACAAATGGCTCACTCTCACTCCTTATCTCTTCCACTCCATTCCCATCTCTGTTCTTCAAAGAGGCCCTTCTTGTCACAAAATAAAATGGTGCCCTGAAGTTTTTTCAAAATGCTTATCGCTGCCTGGCATATCACGCCTTGATGTGCTCGTTGTCTGCTTCCATCATGAACATGTAGGCCCCAAGAAAGCAGGATTTTGTCTGTTTTGCTCATTCTTCAGTGCTTGGTATTCAAGATTTATTTGTTGAATGAATGACTGGATGAATAAATAAACAACAAAAACCGAAGTGTAGCAAGCTTTCAGTAAATGTATGTTGATTTGAGATTTTTGTTGAAGTGCTTCCTTTTGCATTTATTTATTTTTCTCAATTTTATGTTTGGAAAACATTAAACATACAGAAAAGTTGAAAGAATGGTTCAGTGACTAACCATATGTCCCCAACTTAGGTCAAGAATTGTTAATATTTCACAATTCCTGCACATATTCGTGTGTGTGTGTGTGTGTGTTTGTGTGTGTGTGTGTTGTTCAAGTTAAAAGTCGGTTACAGGCTGGATGTGGTGGCTCACGCCAGTAATCCCAGCACTTTGGGAGGCTGAGATGGGCAGATCAGCTGAGGTCAGGAGTTCGAGATCAGCCTGGCCAACATGGTGAAACCGTCTCTCTACTAAAAATATAAAAACCAGCTGAGTGTGATGGCCCATGCCAGTAATCTCAGCTACTCAGGAGGCTGAGGCAAGAGAATTGCTTGAACCAGGAGGCGGAAGTTGCAGTGAGCCAAGATCATTCCATTGCCCTCCAGCCTGGGCGACAGAGTGAGACTCCGTAAATGAATAAATGAATGAATGAATGAATGTCAGTTACAGAAATATGACACTGACCCTTTGCATTTACAAGTTGGCTCTGAAGAGTGGTGAGTCAGAAGAGACCCCAGGCAGCAAGCAACTTGGCCATGGCCTCTGACCTGGACTTCTCACCTCCAGAGGTGCCCGAGCCCACTTTCCTGGAGAATGTGCTACGGTATGGACTCTTCCTGGGAGCCATCTTCCAGCTCATCTGTGTGCTGGCCATCATCGTACCCATTCCCAAGTCCTACGAGGCGGTGAGTTTTTCCTTGGGAGCCTCAGCTCCTCTGAGTGCCAGGCTGGGTTCTGAGTACTAACAGTAGATGTCACCACAACTAAGATCCGCAGGGTCTACTCTGGGCCTTCTTGATTTAGTGTGCCCCTGAATTCAACCTGGTGGGTTGAACCACATAGCTAATACTTTATTTGTTCATGTACCCATTTAAGCAGATTTTTATTTAGTGCCTACTGCATTTCAGACTCTGCTGAATGATGTAGTGTCTGCACTTGAGGAGCATCTAGTCCTTGGGGGAGAAGACAGATAACAAAACGTACCCCCATGTACTCCCATGAGAAGTACAGAGTATAGCAAGGATATATAACGACGGGGAGAGACCTCATCTTACCCTGGGCTGTGGCCCCTGCTGAGGAGACAGTGTTTGAGCTGAGACTGAAGGAATGAGCAGGCTTCTGCCAGGTGAAGTGGGCAAGGGGCAAGGACAACATTCCAGGGAGAGGGCATTACACATGTTAGGGACTCAGAATAAAGGAAGGGGCTAGTTCAAGGAACCAAATGAGTGACTGTGGCCAGAGCACAAAGGGGCAGGATGAGAGGTGCAGCCAGAGGTGTGGGCAGGGGCTAGAGGCTTTTAAGTATGTGAATGACATGGTCAAACTGGCTTTTTTGTTGTTGTTTTGACTCTTCTTCTGTACATGTCTTTGTAACTGTACACCCTCCTTCTACCCACTTTCTTGCCCACTCCTGTTCGCTTATGACATTGACTTGTTGGAGAAAGCAGCTCGTTTGTCATGTGGGATACCTACATCCCAGGAATTGGCTGATTGCTTCTCTGGGTGTCATTTAACGTGTTTCTCTGTTCTCTGTGTTTCCTATCAACAGGAGTTCCATCTAGAGACCTGATTCCATTCCAGTCAGGTTGTTTGGTGCGAACCCCTCAGAGCTGGTGCTGTGTACTCCCTACTGTGTGGCATCAACAGGCACACGGTGTCTGGCTGCCACACATTTAGAGATTCTAGGATTGATTGGTGGGTTTAGGTGGTATCAGTCGATCCCTCCATTATAGAAATCCTCTGTCAGTCTTTCACCTAAGTGGCTTTAGCATCCACTGATGGTCGTTGCTTAGTTCCGTTATTGGGAGACAGGGTCTCCCAAGGAGAGAATATGGCGGGAAATGAGAAGAGGGCCTAGGCTAGAGCCTGGAGGGGCTCCAGCATTGAGGGGACAGGCAGGGGCGGAGGAGCAGCCAGCAGGGGCGGAGGAGCAGCCAGCAGGGGCAGGGAAAGCTTAGTGAACAGGGACGGGTTTGTGGCCTCTAGGGTGTCTTGTCCGTCTCTTAATCTGGTATCTTGAGAAGATCATGATTGGAGTTCTTCCACCTACAATTGTATCGCGTTTTAGGACATAATCCCTGTGCTCTTGGGCTCTGTCCTCGCAGACATGGCATGCTACTGCGTATTATAAATAACAAACATTTGTATTGTCATTGGTGGCTGGTGAGGCTTGTGAAGAGTCCCGAGGGAGGGAGGTGCTGAGCCTTCCTGTCACAGGCAGAGATGTTTGGCTGTTTGGAGAGCAGGGAGGCTGTTCACCTCCTGTTGTGTGTGATCCCTTCGAGGTAAGCCACAGAAGCCTGGGTTAGCTCAGCAAACTTCAGAAAAGGAGGCCCTTTTTTGTTCTCTTTAAGGTTTTCAGTGGGATAGTGGATTAAAGTCTTTTGAGACAGGGAGTTGACAAAGGGTTCAAAAATATGCCTCCATACCCCTCCCCCCACTGCCATTTAGCAGTTAATTTCAGACAACAGCCTCATCTTTTTAAATTTAAATATAGTACATGACATCTCCCATTTTTATTGATCTTGCATTTAGGGGAACAAGGCTCACACAAGTGAATTGTCTTCATAATTCACTTCATAAGCTTCATAACAGAAGCTTACTGTTTTAACTTTTTATTTTAGCTTTTCAGTGGATTAGTAGCAAAAAAATACAGTACTGTTAATCTTAACATTTTACTGGTACATCAGGGGAGCAAATGGCCCCAAGTTACACAGGGGGTTCTGTTGCTAACTTTCTCTATGTGTCCCCATAAGAAAGCCTTTCTCACTCCCAAACTCCTCACTAGATGGAAAGGAAACAGCATTCTGAGCATAAACAAGGTTACAAAGAGAGGGTGAGTGCTGAGGCTATATGCTGCTTAGAGGCTGTCTCTGACAGCTAGCTGGGATTTGGAAGGAGTTTGGAAGGGACTGAAGAGAGTTTTAACATGGGGACAGGGTGCTGTTAGGGAGAAAGGGAGCCCATGGGAGTGGGGGCAGCTCGTAAGACTCCAGGCAACTTGAAGGCAGTTGGGAGATACCTGGAGGTGGAGGAGGGCAGAAGTGAGGGTGGGGGAACTAGAGAACAGTCTTGCTCTCTCTGCCGTTTTGCTGAGGGCAAAATCTTCCCTTTTGCTTAGCCTATAGAAACAAGGTTTATTAGTGGCTTTTTGGGTCAGAAGATAATATTTTTGGCTCTAGATGATGGGAAAGCCTTGAAAAGCAAAAGAATGTCTTTCCTGTTGTTCCAGTAAGCCGATTTTTTGCAACTTGCTTATGACTTCAGTACTTCAATACTTAGCCGATTATTTGAAAGTTCTTTGGGGGGTAATCAGGGAGGAAAAAAGGGAACACATACAAATGCTTCCCACCCCACCCCCTTCCTTTTCATAGTAGGAGCAAGACCCAAGTCCCTAGAATCCTAAGCCAGATGAAAAGCTTTTCTCATTGGCACCTCATTAAACTCAGACCTGAGAAAACAAATATTTGTTTGAGCCTAATGGGGTCCTGGGCCACACTTAATCCAAGCATTTTCTTGTAGGGTGGATTCTAAAATGTATAATAGTGTATCCTAGAACCATTTCCATCTAGTCCAGGTTAGTGGGTAAGTTTCATCTCTCATGCCAAGTCTTACCGATTGTATGATGGCCATGGTGAAAAGGATTCTGGGGCTGCTGCTTTGCTCTGAAGGAAAGAAATTGATCAATGATGTGTGTTTGCTGTGAGCTGGGATTAGAAACTGATAGTGCTGGATCGTTCAATGATTCTCTACCAGGCTGCACATTAGAACCATCTGGGGAACTTTTAAAGGCCGAGACTACACCCAGACAGATTCTGATTCAGTTGTTCTCTGAAGCCTTAGATCAGTATCGGTATTTTCTTCTTATTTATGTTTTTGAGACAGGTTCTAGCTCTGTTGCCCAGGCTGAAGTGCAGTGGCACAGTCATAGCTCACTGCAGCCTTGACCTCCTGGGCTCAAGTGATCCTCCCTCCGCAGCCTCCTCAGTAGCTGGGACTGCAGGTGTGCACTACCACACCTGACTAATTTTTAAATAATTTTTTGTAGAGACACGGTCTCACTATGTTGCCCAGGCTGGTCTGGAACTCCTGGATGCAGGTCATCCTTTCACCTTGGCTTCCCAAAGTGATGGGATTACAGGTGTGAGTCAGTGTGCCCAGCTTGGATCAGTATATTTTTTAAAGTGTCTGGGTGACTGTAATATCTAGCCACTGCTCAAGTCTTCAGATGACTTCCCTCAAGCACAAACCAATTTTAGGAGGGCAGGATGTTTAGTTCTTAGATGTGTTAAGTTTGAAATAATAGCAAAATGTCCTATGTGAGAAAGGAAGAGCGAGCAAGAAGTTGGGAATAGAGACCTGATAATTATTTTATTAACAGAGCATTATCATGCATTATCATGCCTGTAATCCCAGCACTTCGGGAGACTGAGGCGGGCGGATCACCAGAAGTCAGGAGTTCAGATCAGCCTGGCCAATGGTGAAACCCTGTCTCTACTAAAAATAGAAAAATTAGCCAGGTGTGGTGGTGCGCACATGTAATCCCAATTGCTAGGGAGGCTGAGGCAGGAGAATCACTTGAACCCAGGAGGTGGAGGTGGCAGTGAGCTGAGATTGTGCCATTGCACTCCAACCTGGGTGACAGAGTGAGACTCAGTTTCAAAAAAAAAACGAAAACAAAAACAAAACCCAGCATTATTACTTGAAACTCAAGCATGAGTTGCTAAGTTTTTCAAGGGAAAGGAAGATTCAGGAAAGACCTGAACTTGGGGCATGTCCAACCTGCTTGAAGTAGTTTCCGTGCAGTATAGACAGACTGAGAAAGTTTGGGTGCTGTCCTAGAACCCAAGAGCAGGGGCTGCGGCGGGGCCTCTGGAAGTGGTGGGAGCTGGGACTTAGTGCTTATAACCAGCATGCTCTCTGCCTACCCTCCTGTCCCCCTCCTGTCTTTTGCTTTTCTCACTAGGACCCTGCTTCTCTGCTTGCTGGCCCTGTGCTGAGATGCAGCACAGCCACTAAACACAACCATGCCTTCCTGCTGGTCTCAGTTCCAGAATCCCCAGGGAAGGCACTGTGGCTGACCCAGCTTGGGACAGCTGTGGCCGGGGGGAGGGGAGGGTTCTGTGGCGTGCCCTCTGAGGGGACGGGAAGGTCCGTTTCCCCAGGGGGAGTGCTAGGCAGATGAAGCTGGGGTCTCCATTTCTCTCCCTCTCTCAAATTATAGGCAGAGAAAAGCTGGCCTAGTCTGATGCTGCCACTGTGTTCCAGCTGCTCTCCTTGAGAGTTGGGTTTCAGTGGAAGAACGTTCTCAGTAGGGAGTTCTTGGCTTTCTAGGGAGGTCCCGGGGTAGGCTTGAGGGGCCTGTGAGCCCCCTCAAATTGTGTACGAGAATGTGAGGTTTTTATGTCCAGGCACATTTTCTGGGGAGATGGTCCATAGCCTCTCTACATGGAGTGCAGTGGGAAGTGGGGGACAGGTTTCTTCTCAAGTTAGGGAGCCTGTCTCCCTCCTCCCCATAACCCTCCTGAGTTAGCCTCCAAGCCTCTTTTGGACCCATTTCTACATGGAGTGTTGAATTCAGTCAACCCTAAGCAAATGGGTATTGACTTTGAGTTCAGCAACTCTTGTGGCAGCTAGTCAGTCATACACGGTAGTAAATCAGAAACTGTCGTAAGATCAGCGTTGA